CGTCTGCAGGGAACCCACGTATCTCGGTGGAAGGAGGCGAGCCCCGCACCAGAAACCACCCTCCCAGCAGCAGCGGGAGCAAGAGAAATCTCCTTCCCCTTCCTCCTGCACAACTCGCTGTCCCCTCCCTTCCCTTTTCCCGAACACTGAATGCTGATTTCTGAGATGAAAATCTTCCTCTTCGGACAGCCGGGACTCATATGAAGGACACGCAAATACTGGATCGTAAATAAGAAGCGAGTCTGGCGAGCTCAGAAACCCAGCCCAAAAGGAGCAGCATCAAGAATCCACCCTTCTCCTGCACAACTCACTCCCCACCCAACTCACATAGAATACTAATTTCCTGAGATAAGATCTTACCCCTTTAAACAACCACACACACACGCACACAGAGTGTATATTATTACTAAATATAATAGGTTAAACCCAGCAGCACGGGAAAAAGCCTCTTCTGCAACTCACTCCTTTTCACCCTTCTGAATGCTGAGATCCTGAGGTAAATTTTTCCCTTACCCACAGCAAAGACTCTTTTTGAACAGGACACAAATATATATTAGATTATAGAGATGTATTAAATTATTCCAGATTTAAATCTATTTTTTGCTGCCAAGGGGTCGGGGGACCAGACGTCATTGTATATTTTTTTTTTCCTTCCCTCTTAACTCATTTATGGGCAAGTCAAGGCTGCTGAGGAGGAAAAAAACAGGATAGTTAGAATCTCTTTATCCTTATTCCCCAGAAGCTTTTTCTCTCATTGCTGTGCATTTCCTTTAGAAAAAGGAAACCTCTTATTTTGTGAACCAAAGAATTATTTTTCCCTTCCTCCTGGCCAAAGGAAGGAAACGGACAGAAATTGACACATTTAAATAGTTGAAGAGATCTATCTTTTGCAAAAAACCGAACATCTAACTCTGAAATAAATAGCGTGGAGGGAGAAACTGGAATATCTAGCTAAAATCAGGATACTTGCTAATCTTGCCTCAGAACAGGACGAGGTAAACACTAAACATCAACTTGTTCTTATAGGGAGGATTCAAACCTTTAAATATAATAAATGGGGGATTACGGGTTTGGAGTGTTAGTGCAAAACAACACTGGAAATAAGTCAGCTTTTCCAGTCAGATTTCATCCACATCTGCAGCCTCCACACCATCATCAAAATGCAACCCCCAGCCCTGCTGCTTTTATAAATAATAACACAGCTGCCAATGGCAGTAGTGCTGGGTCAGCTTGGCTCTTTCCTGCTCCAGCTGCCCATAATATTCAGGATGAGATTCTGGGGTCAGAAAAATCTAAAACTCAGCAACAGGAAAAGCAAGAGTCCCTAGAAAAACAGCAGCTTTCCCCTGGTCAAAGTCAGGAAGCAGGCATGCTCTCTGAACCTGAGAAAGCTAAAACTGAAGAAAATCAGGGCGATAATTCTTCAGAGAACGGCAATGGAAAGGAGAAAATAAGAATAGAATCGCCGGTGTTAACAGCATTTGATTATCAAGAGGCTTCGGGGCTAGGTACTTCGACGCAGCCCTTGACATCCACTGCATCTTCTCTGACTGGTTTTAGTAACTGGTCTGCAGCTATAGCTCCTTCTTCTTCTACAATAATCAATGAAGATGCAAGTTTTTTTCACCAGGGAGGGGTCCCTGCTGCCTCAGCTAATAATGGTGCTCTGCTGTTTCAGAATTTTCCACATCACGTCAGCCCTGGCTTTGGTGGTAGCTTTTCCCCCCAAATCGGACCCCTCTCTCAACACCACCCTCATCACCCTCATTTTCAGCATCATCACAATCAGCATCAGCAACAGAGAAGGTCTCCTGCAAGTCCTCATCCACCTCCATTCACACATAGAAATGCTGCTTTTAATCAATTGCCTCATTTGGCTAATAATCTTAACAAGCCACCTTCTCCATGGAGCAGCTACCAAAGTCCATCGCCTACACCATCTTCATGGAGCCCTGGTGGCGGTGGATACGGTGGGTGGGGTGGGTCCCAAGGTCGAGACCACCGCAGGGGACTGAACGGAGGGATAACGCCCCTGAACTCCATCTCGCCCTTAAAGAAGAATTTTGCAAGTAATCATATCCAGTTGCAGAAATACGCTCGACCCAGCTCAGCCTTTGCTCCAAAATCATGGATGGAAGACAGTTTGAATAGAGCTGACAACATTTTTCCTTTTCAGGTGAGCATACTCTGTTGTATCCATAAGAAAAATAACATGTAAGTGCATTAAAATGCCGTGGAAAGGGTTGGGGGGTTGAACAGTACAGTCCGACTGTATGACTTCTGGGCTTGCAACTAAAAAAACCATACATGGTTAACTGAAAATGTCATAGTGTGAATTTGGTCCAAGCTGTGAATCGTGGGGTTTTTTTTGTCGTAGTGGTGGTCATGTAAGTATCTGTTGCCCACCAGACATCTGTATTAGCCACTTTCCTTCAGCTTAATACTTAGATTCAGAAATAGCTGAACAAATTACAAGTAGCAAGTACATCTACATAAGGGAGTAAAGAAAAAAGTGCTGCCTGATGAAGTATGAAAGATCTGAGGCCTTCTGAAGTATTTGAGGATACCACATCTGAGAAAAAGTATTGAGTGATTGTATTTTGTTTTACAACATCATAAGGACTTGTAGTGCAACATAATTTTTGTAGCATTTCTTGGAAACTGATTGTTTTACACAGTGGTAATCAATGCAGTTTGCTTTCCTCAGTAATGACAGCAAATTTTGGTTACAGGCATTTAAATCATCACCAAAAATAAATACAGATGAGTTTCAGTTGGTGGTCTCCTATATTTTAAAATGGCCTTATCCTGGCATGAGGCAGGTCATGTGGCAGTTCAGCCTCTCCTTCTAGGCTGACTTTTTATGAATTTGAAAAGAACTGTATAATGTTGAACCTAATTTGCAGTAAAAATGAAAACAGAAGTACTCTTCATCTGACCACTAGTTAAATCTAGCTTTTATGTGTGTGTATTCCTTTTGTAAACTTTAGGGTGAATCCAAAAACCCAAGAGTTCTTTTACATTTAGTGGATTGTTTTTCAAGATCTTCAAATGAGGGCAAAAGTAAAAATTTCAAAATTATTGCAGTATTTCTAGCCATGCTGTAAGAACCAGGGTGACCTACTTTAAAATAACTTGAAAGATCTGTAGATAAAAACTGTGCAATATGTCTCATGCTGTAAACCACCCTAAAGAAATAGAAATACATTTAGTAATGACTTTGTGGATTCAGACACAGGAAACATTTTAGTTGTTCTTTGTAAACTGTTCAGTTTGTTTGGTTTGCAGGGCCTGCCTGTGCAGCCTTCTGACAACAGAGCAGCTGCTGGCAATAACTTTCCATTAGAGACCTTTTTTCTACTGCAGAGCTACTAGCTGATTCAGTGTCAGGTAGAGCCCTTGTAAATTTAGAATCCATAGTAATAATTGATTTTAATGTCAGGATTTGTAATTAATATAATGAAGCTGTGTCCAGCATACCAAATTTGTATGCTGAAACCATTAGAAAAAGGGACACAGCTGGAGTTGGTCTTTTTTCAGCCTCACTGCAGCGAGGCTGGGCTCACAGTTTAATTCATTCTGTAACCTGACACATAGCTGATGTTCAGAGTGACAGAATAAGATCAAGTGTGTCCTTGCTGCTGTTTATAAGGCCCAAATATATACGCAGTCATAGAAATGTGCTTGGTTTGACATCAAGGAAATTTCAGGAAATTGGCAAAGTCAACCTTGACTTCTGGGTCATGTTCCAAACATAAAATATCAGACACACGTATTTTGATGGTGGTAAAGAAATAATTTTTGTGTAGCATGTTGGTATCTGTTTACATAAACACTAAGATGAAGCTGTACATGTCAAGACCAAGTCTGACACTTCTTCATGCCAAAAAAAGGAAAGTGTTGGAGTGAAGTGCTTTCCAGTCTGTTACTATCACTTCTGTGAAAAAAAGGGCAGGGCAGCAAAACAGGACTTCAGCACTGCAGACCTAGAAAGATGCTGATTAATTTTGAAGCCATCTTGGGCAACTGCTTTTTATAACTTTTTTTTGGTGTAAAATCTTTAACTCCTTTGGTCACTTAGTTATTTGTGTGTTGAAAGCATACTGAATTTTTGAATTGCTGGAAACAAATGATGTAAAATTTGACCTTTGATGTCGTTTTATTTTTTCTTGATTATGCTGATTGTATGTCTGACTCAAAACAGAAATAAGGAGTTTAGTTTATTGTATATTTGTGTTTATGCATATATATATGAAGTATCCTTGATGATGCAATCATGTACTGGACCAAGGCTATTTTGTTACTCGAATCTTCTTAGATTCCTATTTAGGAAATAATTGAAAGCTGTCTTTGCTGCAGCAACATAATGGAGTAACTTGATACAACTATCCCTTTCATTTAATATTTATGTTTTGCTGCTTAAATCATTAACAAGTGTTGCTGCAGTCTAGTGAAAATTAGTTTCTCTAGAAGGCAAGATAGAAACCAGCAATTGCGAATATTTGGGGATCACTTTTTTCCCTCAAAGGTTCTCTCTCCTCCAAAGCTTGGTGATACACAGAAGTCTATGCTTTGATGGAAATCTTAGGGTAACCAAGTGTAAGTGCTTGTTTCCTCTTTGGAGAGGACAACATTGCATAATGCCCCTATAAGCCACTAATGTGAATTGCTGCTCACTTCAAATATTTCTACCCATGGCCCTTAGACGCTTGTGATGAAGTGGACATTCCAAATGGCGCAGATAAAGGAAAATACCGTGGTGATCTGTTTGATAATCTTGCAATTTGATGATTGCTTGCTTGGTATTGAGAGCTGCATGCAAAACATTGTGCTTTTTGTTCTAAGTGTTTTTTCATTTGGAATTCTGTTTCATAACACTTCAGAAGTAGCATATCTGTAGGACCCTCTTGTTGCAGAGATGGAACTGGAAGCAAGGTCAGAGAAGACTGTTACCAGATCTGTTAATGAAATTAAGTTTTGAGATTGTGCTCTAGCCACTGGGCAGGCTTCCCCCTTCAAAGATCTTTTCAAAAGAGAAAAGCCATTGTTCTTTGTGCGTTCATTTGAAAAGGAAATGGTCTCCAAATGAAAAAATGGTTCCTGAATTTAAAAAAAAAAAAAAGTCTTTTGGCTATAACAGTCTTCCCTGAGAATTAATAAACAAAAACGCTTTGACTGTGACTATTGCATCTTACAAAGTTACTGATTTTTTTAAATAATTCCTTTTACTTCTCTCCCAGCAGCACTGACAAACTAAGTGCTCAGTAATTGCATTGCCCTCAAGATTGTTTTGGCTTTCCTTTTGCTATGTACTTGCACTTCCTCATGAGTGGAACATCCTGCCTGTTATGCAATGCATAAATCTTGCTTTGATAGGCATTTCCAGGTTTCCAGATCCCATCTTCAAATGCGTGACAATGTTTTTTAAATTGGTCTTTGAAGACTCAAGCAAGTTAAGTAATAGTGTTCAGCTTTCTGCAAAATTGCTTAAAAATAATTTGTGTTTCTTCCTGGAATCAGGCTTGAAAAGAACTGCCCATTTCAAAGAATTTTGTACATGAGAGCAGTTCATTATATCCACTTGTTCAAAATGTTTTTTCCTTTCTTCTGCAGTGGCTAGTTTCCAGGTATATAACCCCTTCCAAATCCATTGAGGGTCTGTGCCAGAGAGACTTTCTCTTCCCCCAGGCAGATATGAAATGTTTGAGAAAACACATACGTGATTACAGAATGTGTTTTAATTCTGAGCTATACGTCATGATTTGTTTGCCCATAGAAATGGGTTGATTTAAGAAGTGTGTTAAACAAAATCACGGGGAACTGGAATTAAAAAATAACCTCTTAAATGCATTTGCCAATCGTTCCTCTTGAAGGAATTTTGCAAATAAATTTCTTTACCATGCCTCTTTATTTTAATACTTGTTCTTTGTTTTTGAGGAACCTTTTCATAAATCATGATAGCTGGTTGCATAAAATGAGACTACTTGCTCTGCAGAATTTTATTTTTATTCTAACAACAGCAATTATTCCAAGAAATTTCAAGCTATCATTTTAAAACAGAATAAATATTTGAAGTTGGATTTTTAAATGTCTGTTCACCCATTTTTCTATAACTACATCAGCTGTGTAGTAATTAGTGTTTTGTATGCTGTTCCCCACAGCTACTGATCTGTGGAATTAGAAGCACTCTAATGTGGTATGACATGCACAAGTTAAGTACTGTGGAAGTTAACACTGTTCTTGTTTTATAAACTTACTACTGACGTTAATACTTTGGCTTTGGCCCTCCTGTGTGTTTTTGACCTCAGGGTTTCTTTTTAAAGAGAGCTTTTGTTAGAAGCTATTTGAATTATGTTTGTATTTTCCTAAGATTAAAAGGAGTACTCTTATTAAGCATTTTGCTTTGAAAATTGCATACTTAGCAGCCCAGCATAAAGATTGAGAACACAAGATATTGTGGAAAGTAATTTCAGAAGACACATAAAAAACTTAATATGTGGCTAAAATAGAATCAGACATGTTACTGGAAATTTTTATAAAGGTCTGTAATTTCTAACACTTAAAAAAGGTCAAGTTTGACTAAACCAGAAGTGCGCCCTTCCAAAAAACTCCGATGTTATGCGTCACTTAACTTTTCCAGCTTTTTCTTATTGTTCCCTGGTGAAGCTACAAAAGATGATCAGGGCAGCATACAGCAACATCCTTCCAGGAAAAACCTGTTTATTCAAAGCCTTTAATTCACTGGACTGGGAGCTGGAATACAGCATTTTCAGGGTGGTGAGAAGGAGGAGAAGCTTACCCAGAAGCATAATCGAGTCCAAATTTGCTTCGCAATTAAAAGAAAAACGTGGAACTTTTATTTAGTGCCTACAATATTGCCTCTCCCTATCTACTTTGCCTGAGACACAAGGCTTTTTAATTGTGGGAAATATGTACAAGGTTTTGGAAAGTTTCAGGCTTCCCATGCTGTAATGAGGGTAGCATAGAACATGTGAGTGTTCTAATTTTCTCAAGTATCCTGGTTTGTCAAATATTTAAATATATAATAAGCCCCAGTTTTACAACTGTACCTACTCCATAAATACTGCTTAATCACCTTCAATAAATTGCTTAATGCAGTGGCATACTTTGCATTATTATTGATGCCTCAGTCTTCAGAGAAATCATATTTTATAAGATTAGGCACAGCCTTAGCTACCAGCAAGTGCTCATACCTTGCCAAGCTTTACTTGTACAGTTTGGGGTTTTAGCACTGGGAGGCCCATCGTGGGAAGCACTGAATAGAAACTCCAGTTCTGGGATCTTCATTGTTCAGGTGATAATGCTGTGAGTGCAGATTAATGAGTCTGCACTTTAATAGTTCAGTTAGATGTATATTTTGCTGATGTGCAAGAGAATTTAGGTATGGGATTTTTAAGTACAAAGTATGATCTTCTTTTTTGGAATTAAATGTCTTTGGACTTTGAAAAATAAAATTGGAATAGGAATTAGAATTTAATGATTACCTATTTATAAGTGGCTCAATTTTTTACAAGACCTCTAAACTTAAAATAATCTGGGTGCTAGTGGGGAAACCACCGTAGTCACTGAGGTGAAGTGGTATGCCCGCTGTATGAATCCAGTGACAAAGTTGTGACATGAAGCCCTGAGTTCTACTCTCTATGCTTTAACAGGGAGATTGCATTATTATGAGCACTCTACATGCCTATAAATGATTTCTAGACAGTAGTAGAATAAAAATTTTATTTTTCTGTAGAGCTGGCCACTGTATAGTTCAAAACTGTTGTGTTTGCTGTTGTAGAATATTTACAGTCTCAATAGCTCTCTTTTAACCAGATCTGCTGGCTGTCACCTCTTGTATATTATTGTGAAAACAATACTGCTTATTCAAAATCATGTTTAATGAATTTATTTTGAAATGTTGGGTGACATTTTAAACATAGTCATGCATTAAGACTGCAGGTTGATTTCTTTCTTTTTGGTTGTTTTTGGTTTTGTTGGAGTATTTTGTTTGTGGTGGATTTTTTTTTTTTTGGTGGCCTTGTGTTCAACCTGATGTTTTTCTGCCTCAGTTCTGTTTCCCAAGGATAAATGTGTGTGTGCCCTTTGAGCCCTCTGATAAAGCAAAATTTTAGATGCCCTAAACAAACTCGTGTAAAGCCAAGTTCTTGTGATCAACCTGGGTAAATAATACTAGGCTGTAGTTAATTTACTTTGTTGTTGAACTGTATACACTCTGCTTTATTCCAGGGTAGTCATTACCCTTACATCTTTTATTTATAAATGAATAAAAAAGTATACTGCAAGTAATCCAGCTCCATGGAAAGCACTGTAACTTTGTGAATTGATCCATTAAAAACACCACCATATTGTTATTAATTCTCTCTACATGAAGTCTCTTGAAGAAAACATCACTTTTTTGCTAAGTACAGCATGGATTACATGCTTTATAACTCATCTGAGATCAGCTCACATTTAGTTACCAGTTAATGATCAGTATCTTGTGTGTTACAGCTTTTTTGATGTTATGGAATTAAATGTATAGTTTCACATTTCTTCTGCAATATGGCCACTACCACTAACCTGTCATCAGTCTTTATTTTTATGTTAGGTATATATTACCTAAATATATATATATTTCAGATACAATATATGTTTCTGATAAAATGTGCTGGCCATCTTGGAAGTTAAGACTGGCAAAATTTGTGCTACTGTTTTCAGAGCAGTCTCAGAATAAAAGGCCTTTAAATTGTATAAAAATTCTAAAAAACTACTAATGGTGACTTTCTCTAGCAGTGTGGACCCTGTTAGTATCAGCACAAATAGTCAGCTAAATTAATTGAGTTCTTTTATAATAAGCACTGTGCAAACCTCCAAACCAGTTCAGCATGACATTTTGGCTGGTCTTTATTTAGGACATACATGACTGATATCTTTTCATTGGATAGATGTATACAGGTTTACTTATATACCACGTTCTTGAATTACTCGGCATTTCCAGAAAGCTGGACTGCTACCTTAATTTCAGGAATATATCTAAATTTGATGTAAGAGTAGTAGTAGCTCTTAGTGTTGTGCTTAATGTGGTTTGCTATCTTCTCATTAATAAGCAGAGATGTGGAAGAGCAAACTCTTTCAAACGACCCAGGAATAAGACTGATCGTCCCCAGGGTGTTGAGGCTGGGACAGTTCAGCACCAGGAATTGATCGTGATGATTAGATATGCTCAGCACAGAGACCTTTTGTTGGAAAGATAGGCAAGAAATAGTAACGTATCAGAGTCTGAGGGTGCTCCAGCCTATGGCATTCTCCTCCATTGCTATGGCAAGTTACTGGAGTATGAACGTGGGCCATGTTTTAGCCAGTCCTCCTTTTTATGTGATTACTAATAGTTGCAGGTAGGAATACGACCAGTTAATCTTTTGTATTGGTCTGCAGGATCATGTTTTAAAGTGTTTGCAGTATGATTGGAAGCTTATGGACCTTAGACTACAAAAGTGACAGACTACTAGCTGGTTCACTTAGAAGGGGAAAACTATAAACTCCTCACCACAAAAAGCTTCCATTGGAGAACATGGTGTTGCTATCAGTTAAACAGTTCAATTCCATTTTTTTCTCAAATGCTTACACTCTCTGTTCTCAATATTAAAAATTTACCATTGCAGCAAACCCCTCTGTTCATTGCTATAGCTCAACCCAACCCAACACAGACATTTTAGAGAGAAGAGACTATCTCTAGGCTTGTGTACGCCAGTGCATACACAGCACAATAAACTGGAAATTACTCGGCTTGGGTTTCTCCCTTCATGTCTCTCAGACAACTGAAATGTTAAGTGCCGCAAATTCAACAATGACTTGGAACTACTGAGGGTCTGCACTTTGTGAAATAAGAATTTTGTAGCTGTTTTCGTGGGTTGGACTTGAGGTTAATTCCACACAGAGAACCACAATACGGGATGGAAGAAGGAGTAGCTACTGAGAGATGTCACGTTTTCAGAAATGCTCCCACCTGTGTTTTAGGCTATTTTTGTCAGGTTGTGAGGACTGCTGAAAATGCAGAGACTTGTCTTTTAGCATCCATTCCTGAGTTACACAGCTGTTGGATACTAATGACTCCAGGATGTAGACCTAAGGACTTTTACTCAATCCCGCTAAGGTATGTTAGTGTAATTAGAGTTTGAAATAATTATGAACTAGTAATGTATAAACCAAAATAATAAACTAAATACTACTAGGAAAGGAAGAAACCAGTAGGACATGTGTGAAAGTAAAACACAGAATTTAAATACTTGTGAGAGTTTCTCTGAAGTACTCCAATTACCATGTAATATAAATTACCAAGGAAATAAATACTATGGAGAGACAGGGCAGCACTATGCTTTTTATAGCAAATTTGATATTGGGCTAGACTAATAAAGCAGATGGTTCCAAACTCTGGTCTTTCTAATGCTATTTGAAATGCAGCACACCCGGGTAGAAATACTTCACCTTTTCTGTGTCAGTAATAAACCATTCTGAAGAGAGGAAAAATATCAGAAAATTTCATTCAAAAATAGTATTTTTTTAGTGGTCAGAATGTAACTTTCAAACTTAGAAATGGATCAGGACTCTGGGAACTAGAGGGTTCTTGCTCTTAAAATAGTGTTAGGTGTTTAAAGTCCAAGATGACTGATTGTTGTCTGATACAAAGAACGCCTCTTGCAGCACTGCAATCAATACTGCTTTAGCACTTCATCGCTGGAAGGAAAGCACGTTATAACTTGATACACAACAGTCTTTGAGCAATACCGTTTTTTACTTCACCATTGGTTTTAAAAATGATCAAAGCTGGGTCTGTGTGCTTTGGAGAAATCTCAGCTTCACAGCTAGAGTTAGGGACAAACCCCATATATTCGCTGCTGTAATAACAACAGTTGTAGAGAAGCGGTTTAGAGTAAATGTCTGTCTTGCATTGCTCACGTTTTGCTTTCTTTCTTGAACAGATAACTTCCATGCTTGATGTCAGTTCAGAGGTGAATCTCTTAGAACAGGAATGAAATAAAATCTTTAGAACTGATGTTAGAGTTCTTGGACACAGAAAAATTAAATTCAAGGTGGATTAACATATTCTATCCAAGTGTTTCTACAAATGTCCAAATGTATAACATGGATAGGTGAATAATTTTGGGAACAGGAGTGATTTTTTTGCCTCCATTAGTGACCTTTTATCATAGAATCATAGAATGATTTGGGTTGGAAGGGACCTTAAAGATCATTTAGTTCCACCCCCCCCTGCTGCAGGCAGGGACACCCTCCACTAGACCACGTTGTCCAAAGCCTCATGATACTGTAAAGATTTCAAAGTTTATATATAATTTCAGTTATTCTGAATTTGCTAATTAAAATCATGCAGTGCCAGGATATTTTATGTTGTCTTATGGTACTGTAACATCAGATTTGTAAGATGGGGAATTTATTGGTTTAGTTGGGAAAGTCTGAACTGTGCATGCATTAATTGATGGCTTTGGTTAATATGGAGAAATATTTGGTAAGTATATTTCAAATGGCTTCAGATAATGAAACAGTAAGGTACTTGAGACATACTGCTTGTATGGAAGACTTTATAATTATGCAGAATTTGAACTGACTGTGCAGAATTAGATTATTTCAGTTGTTGAGGTAGTAGTTTAGGTGAAGGAAATTCTGTGTGTTTCTGGAATTTTCTTAATTTTGGACCGAAATACCTATTTTACGATTTCTCCTTGCAGTTCTGTCTCCCAGGACATGATCTTTACTTCCTAACTGTGAAATTATTTTTAACAAAGTTTAACAGTAGAGCAAGGAATACAAACTAAATATTGGTGTTCTTAAATGATTGGTTATGATAAATATAGATGAGATTCATATTCAAGAATATTCTAATGTTTAATATTCCTATATCTGACTGAGTTTAGTAGTGTATGTGTTTTTACTTAATCCTGCTGTAGTTTTTATGTTTCAGATGGTTCCGTTTGATGCTGTGTTGCCTGAACTGGCTTTGTATTTACTTGCAGGATCGCACAAGGACTTTTGATATGCATTCACTGGAGAACTCGCTAATTGACATAATGAGGGCTGAAAATGATTCACTGAAAGGTAAATTTAGAAAGAGACTATTTTCTACAGTAAATAATTGGGTAGATGTGTTTGCTTAGAATAAGAAACTTCAGTTTTGGTTAGGAAAAGTAAAGTGACATTGTGCACCTAATGCATGTCAGTCAGCTCGGGTAGGCTGCCTTTTTTTAGTTGTCTCTAGATGAAGCTGTTGCAACACATGAGCACTTGAGTGTGTTTTGTCTTTATACAAAACAATGTGAAACACAAACATAAGCTGATCTTTTGTTTAAGTTGCCAGTGGTTTTTTTAATAGATACAATGTGTGCAGCCTGTAAAAATGATCAACTTCAGGAATCTTGTGCAGCTCAGTGAGACTAACTTTTTGCTTAGTAGTGTTTTCCTG